CTCTTTCTTCCTATCTTTATGCACTCCTTTGGTGACTTTTGGCATCTTGGCTCTGAGGATCTGGAGTCTCTGCAGGTTCTGGGTCCCTGCTATCTTTCTGCATTCCTTAGGTCAGTCTCTGGGGCCCTTGGGGGTCCACAGCGTCACTTGCTGCAAGGATCTGGGGTCTCTGCAGGTTCTGGGTCCCTGCTCTGCAGGATCTGGAGGATCTGGAGTCTCTGGGGCCCAGTGTCACTTGCTGCACTCTTTCTTCCTATCTTTATGCATTCCTTAGGGCAGTCTCTGGGGCCCTTGGGGGTCCACAGTGTCACTTGCTGCAAGGATCTGGGGTCTCTGCAGGTTCTGGGTCCCTGCTCTGCAGGATCTGGTATGGATTCTGGATTCTCTGGGGCCCATGGTCACTTGCTGCACTCCTTTCTTCCTATCTCTTTATGCATTCCTTAGGTGACGTTTGGCATCTTGGCTCTGAGGATCTGGGGTCTCTGCAGGTTCTGGGTCCCTGCTATCTTTATGCATTCCTTAGGTGACGTTTGGCATCTTGGCTCTGAGGATCTGGAGTCTCTGCCTGGGTCCCTGCTCTGCAGGATCTGGAGGATCTGGAGTCTCTGGGGCCCTTGGGGGCCCACAGTTTCACTCGCTGCACTCTTTCTTCCTATCTTTCTGCTTTCCTTAGGTGACGTTTGGCATCTTGGCTCTGAAGATCTGGAGTCTCTGCAGGTTCTGGGTCCCTGCTATCTTTCTGCCTTCCTTAGGGCAGTCTCTGGGGCCCTTGGGGGTCCACAGTGTCACTTGCTGCAAGGATCTGGGGTCTCTGCAGGTTCTGGGTCCCTGCTCTGCAGGATCTGGGGGATCTGGAGTCTCTGGGGCCCAGTGTCACTTGCTGCACTCTTTCTTCCTATCTTTACGCATTCCTTAGGTGACGTTTGGCATCTTGGCTCTGAGGATCTGGAGTCTCTGCAGGTTCTGGGTCCCTGCTATCTTTATGCATTCCTTAGGTGACGTTTGGCATCTTGGCTCTGAGGATCTGGAGTCTCTGCCTGGGTCCCTGCTCTGCAGGATCTGGAAGATCTGGAGTCTCTGGGGCCCTTGGGGGCCCACAGTCTCACCCGCTGCACTCTTTCTTCCTATCTTTATGCTTTCCTTAGGTGACGTTTGGCATCTTGGCTCTGAAGATCTGGAGTCTCTGCAGGTTCTGGGTCCCTGCTCTGCAGGATCTGCTCTGCAGGATCTGGAGGATCTGGAGTCTCTGGGGCCCAGTGTCACTTGCTGCACTCTTTCTTCCTATCTTTATGCATTCCTTAGGTGACGTTTGGCATCTTGGCTCTGAGGATCTGGAGTGTCTGCAGGTTCTGGGTCCCTGCTATCTTTATGCATTCCTTAGGTGACGTTTGGCATCTTGGCTCTGAGGATCTGGAGTCTCTGTCTGGGTCCCTGCTCTGCAGGATCTGGAGGATCTGGAGTCTCTGGGGCCCAGTGTCACTTGCTGCACTCTTTCTTCCTATCTTTCTGCATTCCTTAGGGCAGTCTCTGGGGCCCTTGGGGGTCCACAGTGTCACTTGCTGCAAGGATCTGGGGTCTCTGCAGGTTCTGGGTCCCTGCTCTGCAGGATCTGGAGTCTCTGGGGCCCAGTGTCACTTGCTGCACTCTTTCTTCCTATCTCTTTATGCATTCCTTAGGTGACGTTTGGCATCTTGGCTCTGAGGATCTGGAGTCTCTGCAGGTTCTGGGTCCCTGCTATCTTTATGCATTCCTTAGGTGACGTTTGGCATCTTGGCTCTGAGGATCTGGAGTCTCTGCCTGGGTCCCTGCTCTGCAGGATCTGGAGGATCTGGAGTCTCTGGGGCCCTTGGGGTCCACAGTGTCACTTGCTGCACTCTTTCTTCCTATCTTTATGCATTCCTTAGGTGACTTTTGGCATCTTGGCTCTGAAGATCTGGAGTCTCTGCAGGTTCTGGGTCCCTGCTATCTTTATGCATTCCTTAGGGCAGTCTCTGGGGCCCTTGGGGGTCCACAGTGTCACTTGCTGCAAGGATCTGGGGTCTCTGCAGGTTCTGGGTCCCTGCTCTGCAGGATCTGCTCTGCAGGATCTGGAGGATCTGGAGTCTCTGGGGCCCAGTGTCACTTGCTGCATTCTTTCTTCCTATCTTTATGCATTCCTTAGGTGACGTTTGGCATCTTGGCTCTGAGGATCTGGAGTCTCTGCAGGTTCTGGGTCCCTGCTATCTTTATGCATTCCTCTGCTGAAACTGGCAAACCCCGTTCCCTGACGGCACTTTGGGCCATAAAACGCCGTTTCTTGCCGAACCAACAGCGTTTCTTTCTCACAATCCATCCAAAACATGTCAATCAACTTTGTTTCCAATTTCATCAGCTGTGGAATCACTGTCACCTGCCACCGGTTCGGTGGTTTCCTTTCATCCTGGCCTTCTTGGTTATTTGCTGCGAGAGTGTTTTTCAGGCAGCAACGTTTCGTTAACAGCAACGACCAAAATAAATGCTGTTTCAGACCAACCCCACAAAAGGGAGCACCAGGAGGGCATAAGTATGAGAACCACTCATGGCAATGTCGACCACTCAAGCTACCTTACACCTCCATGCATCTCTGCGTAGAAATCCGCCGAACCCGGGAGACCACGCTGGGGCCTACTACTACTACTACTACTACTCTACTACTACTACTACTACTACAACTACTACTACTCCTGCTGCTACTACTACTACTACAGCTACTACTACTACTACTACTACTACTCCTACTCCTACTCCTACTACTACTACTACTACTCCTACTCCTACTGCTACTACTACTACTACTGCCACTGCTAGTACTACTACTACTACTACTACTACGACTACGACTACGACTGCGACTGCTACGACTACTACTGCTACTACTCCTGCTACTACTCCTACTACTACTACTACTACTACTACAACTACTACTACTCCTGCTGCTACTACTACTACTACAGCTACTACTACTACTACTACTCCTCCTCCTCCTACTACTGCTACTACTACTCCTACTCCTACTCCTACAACTACTACTCCTACTACTACTCCTAACTTGCTATTCCCATCAATGCGAGGACACAAACTGCCGTTCCTGATGTTTGATTCCGGGGTCGGCGGCAGGGGCGGCAGCCCTTAAATCCGGCGACGCCGTCCGGTGGTGGTGGCTAAGCATAGCTTTAGCTACCCGGGGGCGCGCCCCTGCCGCCGACCCTCCGCCGACCACCTGGCGACCCTCCCCTAAAATCCTTCAGCCTGGTGGGGTTTTCACGTTTTTGGGGGTTCGGGGTGGGAAAAAAGGGGTCTGGGGTGGACAAAAAGAGGGTGAAATTTCAAGATGCGTTTTGGAAGTCCTAAAATCGGAAAAAAAATGCCGTTTTGACACATTTTTCGGACGATTTTTCGCTTTTCGGAAGTCACAAAATGCTGTAAATTACAACATTTTTGCGTTTTAACGTCGTTGGCGGGAGCCATGCACAAACGCAGAAAATGCTGCAAATACCAGTACTTTTTGGACCCGAGATGCACAAAACACTGCAAATACCAGTGTTTTTGAAAGCCAAGCAAAAAAACACTGTAAATTACAGCATTTTTGGCGGGTTGATCGCAAAAAATGCTAGTATTTACAATGTTTCTGCAATTTCAAGCAAACGTGGAAGGCACGAAACACTGTAAATAGCGGTGTTTTGGCAACTTTTGGACGCCGAAACGCTGGTATTTACGCAGTTTTTTGCTTGTGACGGGGCCACTCCCCTGTAAATTACAGCATTTTTTGCACTTTTTGAACCGATTTTTTGTCTTGCTGCATGCAACAAACGCTGGTACTTGCACGTTTTTCAAAAAAATCGAAGATCGTGATGTGAACGAAACTCTGTAAATAAGAATGTTTTAGCCACTTTCGGGGACTAAAACTGTTGTATTTACACGGGTTCTTGCCATCTCAAAGCGCAAAATGCTGTAAATTACAACACTTTGTGCGGATAGGCATAGGCCAACATAGCCTCAAGATGGGCCAACATAGCCCCAAGCTGGGCCAACATAGCCCCAAGATAGGCCGCCGACCCTCAGCATGTCATGTTCGCAAGTTCAGATGACATCCCCCTCTCTCTTTCCCTCCCCCGACCCCTACCGGCGTCGCCGGTGTGCGAAGCTCTACAATAACATATTATAACTTTTCCCAGCAAATGACATACAGCCCATCATTTCTGCATGGAAATCCCCATTGACCCAGCTATTTTTTCCGGTAAACATCGAAGTATCCAGTGTTTTCAAACGAAATGATCTAGAAGTGGTGTTTGTTTTAGATCTCGGCGTTAAATTAGTGGAGATATCATATCATATATCATATAGTATATAAACATATAACATATATCATATATCATATATATAAACATGATCATATAGGTTTATCATATATCTATAGGTTTATGTATCATATATCATATCTATCATATATCTTAGTATATCCCGGAAAAATGCCGAAAAGTGTTTCCAGGTTGTTCGATGATAATCTTACCTCATAATATCCAGGTTGCTCTTCGGTATTTTCGGCATGACTTGGGGGTGCTAGGGGGTCCTCTATCACCATGTAGAGCCCATTCTATGACCACCAACCACCACGGGAGGGTCGAACACCACTAATTGTACTAACTGTACTAAGTGTATTGTAGTACTCACCACGACTAATCACTAACTAAGTCTATCATGTCAACCCTGGGTATTTAGCTGGGGGGATACCATTTAAGTACTACTGTAGATTATCACTATTTGGGAAATACTTTCCTAATCAGCAAACCATGGTAGATTTTAATCTGGGCTTGACATTCACCAACCACCACTAGGCTACTATCCACAGACCACCAACTGTACAAGGTGTACACAGTTTTATAGTATTAAGCACCACGAACCACTAACCAATTCAATAACCATTAAGATGGGTGATGCTTATGTAAGTTCTGTAATCTTAATTAACAATCCATTCACCATTACCAGATGGTTGGTTTACTGTTTCTTCATTAACATCAGTAGCCTAAACCCTGACATTAAACCCTAACCATCTGGTTGGTAGTATACCTACCCCTCTGAAAAATCATGGAGTTCGTCAGTTGGGATCATGACATTCCCAACTGAATGGAAAGTCAATAAAATTCATGTTCCAAACCACCAACCAGCGATTATTAACCATTATTAATCATCATTAACCATCATTATGCCATACATTTCACCAATGTTCCAGTCATGTTCCAAACCACCAACCAGATCACCATAATATTCCCATAGTTGTTGGTTTATAGCCTATTAACCACTATTAACCACTATTAACCATCACTATTAAAATGTTCCAAACCACCAACCAGCTAACCATTAATGGGTTTACCACTGACCCCATCACCCCATGACCCCCTTCGGCTCGGCGTCCGTCCCATCTGTAGCATCTCGCCGGCGCGAAAGGACGAGCGCCCGAAGCCTCTGGGCGTCAAAGTCACCGAGGAATTCCTCGGGGCGACAAAAACCGGCCGAAATAAAAACCACGTTTGGGGAAGACGAGGAGACGATGGCGCCAGATTGGTGTTTGATGTTTCGGAAAAATGTGATTGTTATTGTGGTTATGAAATGTTACTAACCTATTGTGGTGGTAATTTCTGTAGATATGATGTCATCTGGTGATAAATAAATGGTATGAGGTGTTATATGCCCATGATATTCCCATAAAATTCCCATGATATTCCATTATAATGATTTGATTAAGGAAAATGTTATGGCTATATTAGGCTAAATAATGGATATAATATGTTGGTTTTTCATGGGTATTCCCATGATATGCCCATAATCAGATAATGAAATGAGGTGTTATGATATTGTACAATCATAAAGGTGAAATTTTTGGTGGTCTTCAGCAAAATATGATGGGTGCACTTTCTATTCCCATGCTATTCCCATTGCAGGTGGTCCATTCTACGTTCTAAAGAATGGGGACTTCACCATGCCTCATAGCCAAAATGGCCATCATTTTGACTTTGACGGTGAAAATGATAGAAAATTCAGGTATGAAATTTGGTGGATGCCAGTCAGCCGAGCATCACCAGGACTTCTTTCCAGTCATTCATGCCCTTCAAGTTCACGAAGACTTCCTGGTTTGTGAAAGTCGACCAAACTGAAATTCCGACCACAAATCCAGGCCATAAGAGCCATCTGGAACACCCATGACATGATTCGTTTCCACATGATTTTCCCATGAATCAATGAGATTTCCCCCGCCGGCCCATTGTTTGTTTATGGGTTTGTCTGAAAATAGTGTACCCCATTTTCCCAATGGTTTTGCTGATCATTATCCCTACTAAATGGCTATTTCATTGGGAGTATACCCTATTTTCAGACAAACTCTTATCAGACCGGAAGGGTTTCATACGATGGTGGTGGAGTCTCTACGCCAAATCTGAGGTTCGAGGCCGGAAATCGCGATGATCACCTGATATCGCCTGAACCTTCAATTGGGTACCTTCTGGTAAACTAACAAAAAACTATGGAAAATCACCATTTTTAATGGGAAAACTCACTATAAATGGCTATTTTCAATAGTTTTTTGTATGTTTACCAGAGGGTATGTCTGAAAATGGGGTATACTCCCAATGAAATAGCCATTTAGTAGGGATAATGATCAGCAAAAGCATTGGGTGTAGGGGTTTAGCCTATTTTCAGACAAACCTTCAATTATTGGTGAAGTGGCATGCAGCCCAGATTCCTGTGATCAGAAGACATCCAAGCAAAGAGCATCTTCAAAGTCTTTACTTCCAAAGCAACAGTTGTTTGTTCCACAAAAAACTACACCCAGTAACCATGTTACCCTCTGGTAATTTAACATAGCTATGGAAAGATCCACCATTTTCAATGGGAAAATCCACTATTTCTATGGCCATTTCCAATAGCAAACTGTTAGTTTACCAGGCTCAAAACTGCACAGCCCCACCCCCCACCCAGCCCAGCGGTCCCTATGCGTCTTCTCGCCCCACGCTTTGGTAACGGCTTCCATATTCTGGCGCACGCCCCGGTTGGTCCAACCGCTACCAACGAAGGACCTCGCGGCTCGGGGTCAGGATTCTCGGGGGCCCACATAAACATGATTAAAATGTATGTTTATTATGTATATATATATATATGTATATGAAAGTATATGATATATATATATATAAATATATGTATATTATATATATAATATATATATATATGTGTGTGTACAATTGTGTACATATGTGCAGCAATAGTTAATCGCGTTTCTTCATCTTAGGTATTGATGGGAAACTGGTGAATATCTGAAACTGCCAGTTTCAAGACCAGGATCTGCATTTAACTTGCAAGTAGTATACATTACTTCAAACAAGATGAACCAACAAGGCTGGCAGTGCTCGTAGAATCTGGTTGGATGAATTGTTCGTGGGATTTAACATGACTTAGTGAATGATAACCAGTGAACTAACATAGATCTTCCCTGAATTTCAGTTCTATTCACAAACCTAAAAGTAGCAACTTGCAGCCAACTACGGGGATGACTCCCTGCAATTCCCATCATTCCGGGAGTGTAAAGTTCAGAGTGTGGAGAAAGTGTAGATTGCGCAGTGTGAAGTGTAAAGTGTGAAGTGTAGAGTGTGGAGTGTCAAATGTAAAGTGTGGAGTGTGGAGCGCAAAGTGTAAAGTGTGGAGTGTAAAGTGTAGTGTGTGGAGTGTAAAGTGTAGAGTGTGAAGTGTAAAGTGTAGAGTGTAGAGTATGGAGTGCGTGGAGTAAAGTGCACCGTGTAATGTGTAATGTGCGAAGTGTAAAGTGTAAAGCGTAGAGTGTAGAGTGTGGAGTGTAAAGTGTGGAGTGTGAAGTGTAAAATTAGAGTGTGGAGTGCAAAGTGTAAAGTGTAGAGTGTGGGGTGTCAAGTGGAAAGTGTGAAGTATGAAGTGTAAAGTGCAAAGTGTGGAGTGAGTGTGGAGTGAGTGTGGAGTGAGTGTGGAGTGAGTGTGGAGTGAGTGTGGAGTGAGTGTGGAGTGAGTGTGGAGTGAGTGTGGAGTGAGTGTGGAGTGAGTGTGGAGTGAGTGTGGAGTGTAAAGTGTAAAGTGCAAAGTGTAAAGTGGAGAGTGTAAAGTGTAGTGCGCGGAGTGTCAAGTGTAAAGCGTGAAGTGTAAATGTAAAAGTGTAAAGTGTAGAAGAGTGTGCAGTGTCAAGTGTAAAGTGTAGAGTGTGGAGAGTAGAGTGTAGAGTGTGGAGTGTAACGCGTAAAGTGTAGAGTGTGGAGAGTAGAGTGTAGAGTGTGGAGTGTAAAGTGTAGAGTGTAGAGCGTGGAGTGTGGAGTGTATATAAAGTGTAGAGTGTAGTGCAGAGTGTAAACTGTAGAGTGTGGAGTGTCATGTGTAAAGTGTAGAGTGTAGAGTGTAGAGTGTCATAAAATGCCACCCCTGCCACGTAATTTGCACGTTGTCGCCACTTGACGCAGCCCTGACAATGGGACTCGCAAAAAACACACAACACGACACGTCTAAAGTGCTGGGCCTGCCACGCAAAATGATGATGGAGGTCTCCGAAGTGCTGGGCCTGCCATGAAAAATGAACCTCATCTTTTGAAAACGATGCAAAAAAAGTATGGCGCCTGTCACACAAAACGAGGATGTCACGAAGTGCCACGCCTGCCACGCAAAACGATGCTACGCGACGTTTGAAACTTCCAAAAGCAGCACTCCCCAGAGGCACGGCCATAAGGCCCTCACGCGGACACTTGCAAACGGTTGCGGACGGGTTGCGTATGGTTGCGGACGGTTGCGCAACGTCTGGCGAACACACCCTCAACCCCTAGACCCCCAGAGTGAAACGGGAACCCTTGCTACACATGCGGGAAAAATATTTCAGAATTTTCCAACCTGAAATCAGGCTTCACTGTGGGCTCGTTATCCCTACTCACCATCATTCCAGTGAGGTTGCAGTGAAGTCATTATAATATAATCTATCCAGGTACATCCAGATAATACTATGTGTTGAAAACTTGGGGACAAAGTGCTAGTAAACTTACCGTGGTTGGAAAACCCTGACATCCGCACTGCTTGCTATGCTGCAACCAGATGGTTTTAAAAATGGCCGGCCATGTCACAGGGTGCCCATTTGGCAAGCTACTCTGCCATCGAACGTGCAAAAGCAAAATTCACTGGTCGGCAGCTTTCTTGGCGATACTTCAGTTAAAGTATGTTAAAATCATATCAAATGATGATTATGTTGAATCATATCAAATCAAAATTAATACTGGACTCCAACTTTCAATGCTTCAACACTCCAATAAATTGGGCCAGTCAAGCAACATGTCTGGCACCTCAAATCAGCCCCAGCCATAGATGCCGAAAATACCTTGGAAACCTGGAAACAATGGGGAAAAATGTCATGAAACCCCTGGGTTTGTCCCATAGTTTCCCATCTTTATCAGAAAAATGTCATGAAACCATCCTGGAAACACGACTTCCCGTCTTTTTTGGGGGCTCCGTCGGATCCGTGATACCCACGAAGCATCCCTTAGCCCGCCGCCAAGTCACACGAAGTATCTCCGGGACGCTATGGGTATGTCTGGCAGAGGCGTTTCTGGCTGCTTCAGTAGTGGCACTGGAATGTGCCCAAAACCTGGAGCAGGTGTTCACTGGAAAATCCATCGATAAAAACTTGAAACCCTGCTGTGAAGTAAAAAAAAAACTGGAAAAACCCAATGAATTGATTTCAACATTTGCTGTTGACTAACGGAGATGGAAAATCATTGGTTTCACAAGATCATCTACAAAGGGGGTGGGCTTCCTGGATGGAAAGTATGGGGAGTTCGTCTTTGTTTCCGGATAGAACTTGGCTTCATGGCGAAGAATGAGGATAGCAACAACAGAAGTGAAAGTGCCAAGTCTTGATACTATATCCATTGGACTATAGTTCTATCCAGAAGTGCATATGGATCAAGATTCATATACTATATCCAGAAGTGAATATCCATTGGACTATAATTGGATATGAATTACAACTTGAGGATATTAAATGGATCCAATGGGGGGTGTATATTAATATAACTTGAGGATAACCAGCCAAGTCTTAAGGATCTTAAATGGGGGTTGAATGGTGGTGTAATGGCTGCTGTGGATGTTCAACCACTAAGATCATGATACTCCCTGGCAAATTAACATAGACCCTGAAAATCACCAATGTTTAATGGAAACTAGTCTTCCAACCCCGATGACTGCCAGGGTCTATGTTAATATACCAGAGGGTAGATCTTGTGAACTGTCAATGCCGAGAGGAAATCCGCGACTCATGTTGGATGTGAACGTTGGCGTTGCCTGGTGACCTATGGTCCAACAAAATCTACGAATAGCCAACAAAATGCCGTTTCAATGTTTGGGGATGGGTCAAAACCCTGGTACCTAGTGAACCTCAATTCATAGCTGGGATTTATGGATGTTCATCCCATTAAAAATGGTATTAATAGGTATTGATCCATACCCATTTAACAATCACAGAAAAGGCGCCATATTACATGTCAGCAATCCCAGAAAAAGGGAACCATAATTTTTGAGCCAGACCCAAAAGATCTAAAAGGGGCTCCCATGTGATTTGCAACTCAAATATACAAAAAAAATCCTGTGATGAAGGAACTATTTCAAAGTTGCCATGTTTCAGCTAGCTTAGCAGGTGACTTTGTACAGTATCAGCTAGCTCTCGGCCAATTTAGTTCGATCATTCGCCTACTCCGAACCGTTAAAGTCGACCAATTTAACAGAATTGTGTCAAATCTCATTGGGACGCCGTTGGATCAGGAAGTCAAATAAGTTGACCAAAAGCAAGGCCAACCCCAATGGGACGCCGATGTACGACAAACTCTGTTTTGGCAAGTTTTGCTGTGTGAAAGATGAGGAAACACCTTGTGGACGCAACTCCCAAAACATCTTCAAAGTGGTATTAAATACAACAAAAAGACACTCATGTCATATTGGGACGCCAGTGATTCACCACATGTAGATTGCAAGTGATCACAAGAAAAGCTGCTTTTACCTGTTGGATTCTGTAGGGACACGGTTAGCTGTTTCGAAGGACGTCCGAACGACGTCCGAACGACGTGTCGAACGACGTCAAAGGGTATCAAAACCCAGACCTTTGGATTCATTTGCTTTCATGTTCCTTTCATTCTCCTTTCATTTCCTCTCATTTCCTTTCATTGTCCTTTCATGCGATCATGAAAACATGGTATAGACACAACCTAAATACGAAGTCACACAAAGTCGCTGGCAATGCAAAACCCAGGAAAAAGTCAAAAAACTGAAAAAAACTAACTTGCTAGACACAAGCTGGACGCAACATTGGTCAACTTTAGAAGTTGCGTGCGCGCAGCTGGGACGCTCATTTCATTGAAATCGTTCAACTCAGAGTAGAAACATGGTGATTTTCCACAGCTATGTACCAAATGCACCAAAATTCCCATAGGGTGTAATGTGGTAGACCCAATATGACCCAATAAACCATCCCCAAGTCATCACCATTTTTGGTGGGATTTCAACCATCCCCGAGTTTTTTTGTGTTGTTTATGGCAGGGTTCACCACATTCGTCCCGTCGTCAGCCACTGGGCAGATGACGCCAAGGCGCCACCCGCGCTGAAAACAAAGAGGTTCGGCATGTCACTTTGCGGAAACGTCGACATCCTGAGCCACGTTGCTGCCGTGGTTTTGCCCTGGCCCTAGATCTCGGTGCGGACCGTCCTTGTCATCAAGTGATTGCAATGGTTCTTAGATCATCCAGCCATGGGTCAAATATCTAACAGAACAACATGAATGACTAACAAAAATCTGGGCAAATGACAAGTCAAACGCAGTCGTTTTGGTTGTTTTGAAAAGCACAATGGTTGTCCTCTGTTTTGGTAGTTTGTGGTACACTTTCAGCCCAAACTCTTGACCCAGCTTGGCCCAGCTTGATCCGAAAACGAGGCGCTTGGCTCCCCCGAAAACGCCCAGGTCATGCTGGGAGACCGTGACGTACAGCACCGTCTTCCGCATCTTCTGCTTCAACATACTCGGAGTGCCGGGATCGATGGGGCAGGCCGATGGTCCAGAAACCAGCCCTAGATTTTCGGATGGTTTTTCCCAGAAATCGGAGGTCGACCATCAACAATTGGAGGCCCGTTTTGTTGGGTTAGACCACATCAAAATACCAGGTATACTGGAAAAACACTCGTGACCAAGCTGGGATTGGTTGGGGCCATTTTTTGGACATGCAAAAAAAGGTTGCATCAGTTGCGATCCTTTGGGCACAGTTCAAAAAACGTTCGTGGGTCCCTTATGTTTTCTTTGTACTACAGGAAGCCATGGGGCAGAAATTACTCGCGAAAGTGGACTCAACTCTGCGACTCCCGTTGAAGTACTTGGCATTGCAAACACATTGAACGTTATTGAACGGCTGGAATTTCTTTCAAGGTTACCAGCTTTGCTGCCGCAACATATCAGCAAATTAATAGCCCTATATTCTAGCGAGGCTACCATTTTAAATGCAAATCACTGCTGGGTACATAGATCGATCAATCAACCAGGATTTATTCATCTAGGGTTGACCTTAACAGCTTCATGCTTCAACATCCCACACCAGTGTGGCCCCACCCCATGGTTCATATCTATGGCTAGTTCACCCAGTTATACCCAGTTATAATGTGTTATATCATGTTACATCACACTAAGTATGATAGTTTCTGCCGATTCTGATCTTTTTGTCCATGACTTAGATAGAGCCCCTGCATCTGTCACTACATCGATAGAACTATTTCCTTATACATATGCATATATATATAATTACATATATCATATACATAGACATATATATATATATATATCATATATATGTCATATATCATCATTTTAATCATATATCTAGTTCACCTAGTCATATATCTGTGTTAGACCTGTGAAATCAAGGTCAAAAAAAATCTGGCCCCAGAAACCACCCAGCCAGCTCCGCCAGGTCCGCCAGGTCACTCGATCATCCCTGCAGGATATGCCCTTTCTCTCACCGCCAGGTCGACCCAGGGGACGAAGATCGGGATGAACCTCGGGTGGTTCAAAACCACGGGAGACCCCAAAGTCTCCAAGAACAAACATCGAAAAACGGAAACCAAAATGATCCAACATGATCCGAAAAATGTGGAGTCTGGTTGGTTTAAACATGTTTAAACACTCTTTTTCAGTACTTCGGACTGAAGACAACCCCGTGTTTCATGAGGATTCAAGATATTATAGCGGCTCGATGGCGGCCCGATGGTTTTATACAAAAACCTATTGATCCCAACAGATCTTGAATATTGACCCAGCTATGACGATCTGACATTTTAATGATCGTCCGAAACAAGAAACAAAGGAAAACGGAAAATGGACTTCAACTCTGCAGAAACGGGCCAAAGACATCTCGCAACCTGGTGCCTTCTGCGCGTTGAAACCACTTTGAAGTAAAGTTCTTGATCCAATAATTCCTGAGCAATCTGGCCATGGGAACCATGGGACTGAAACCCAGGATGCCAAATTTCCTGCAGAGGCTTCCGAGACATTATGCTGATGAGGTGCGGGGGATCCCCGTTATTAAAAAACAAAGTTTTATATACAGTAATATCACCCGACCAACATTGAATACATTAATATACACATTATATATATCTTTGCAAAAAATAAAATAAAAAAATAGATCACGTCCATCAATCATCCAAGATCATCACATCCATCCCGTTCCACTGTACATTCCACCCTTCTAACACCGTCGTAGCTCAGCTTCTCGATCCAAGGTCCGGTGTATCCAGCCCAGTGATGCGCCGGAAAGTCCATGGACACGAAGCTGCTGATGTTGTCGTAGATCTGCCACAGATCTACCAACAAAGATGGGTTGGCTTTTTGCAAGTGACCATCATGGGGGATAGAAAATAGGAGATCTGGTTGGTGGTTGACCTACCAATAGTCATGGTTAATGATGGTTTAATATGATGGTTAATGATGGTTAATATATGGTTACTGATGATGGTTGGTGGTTGACCTACCCGAAAAATATGGTGATTGTATGGTTTAATATGGTGCAAAATCCCATTGATGATCATACTTAGTTACTTATCTGGTTGGTGGTTGAGCCACCAACCCCTCTGAAAAATCATGGAGTGAAAGTCAGTTGGGCTGATGAACTTGCCAACTGAATGGAAAGTCATTCAAAATCCCATGGTTCCAGTCACCAACCAGAGATTACCTCATCTTCCCCATTCAAATGACCATCCATTGGGCTATGCCCAAGGGGCACATTTTTCATGACACAATCCGCATCCGCATCGATCCACCATGGCATAGCAGCATAGCACCTCCTGGAAATGTTCCTCCGCATCGTCGGGATAGGTGGCTTCCAGTTGTGGATTGGTGAGGCGCATGCATGCCAAAGCCTGCGTTGAAACGCACGAAGCGTCCGGTGATGACTTACAGTGTATGCATGGATCTGGAATACATTGTATATTCAATACTATATATATAGTTATAGTTATATATATATATGATATACTTGAAATATGAACATGCAGATATCAATATATGTCAATATCATTGATATGATATGTTTAATGTTATTGTTTCTTATTGTAGATTTGCAAAAACATCTGATTCATCGCAACCCCCCAGCCCCAGAACGAACTAGTTCAATCTTTCTGGGGACCCATGGGGACCCAACCCGCACCAGTTGGGAACCATTCATTCTATAGGTATTCAGTATTCACCAAAGGTTGCAAAAACGTCCCAAACATGGAAAGCCGAATCCAATATTGCTATAGTATGCTATAGTAAATGGGTAACATAACATGGTCATACATGGTCATACATACTCAATTTACCCAAGTTTTGACCATAACGCACATCATAAATCTACACATCTACAAGGTGATGCCACCCATTTTTAATTTGGCTTCTAATCCTCATTGGCTATATAGATATTCTGATATTCTGGATCAAAATTGAGTACCCCGAGGTACCAAGGATGGTTATTGCTAAAGATCATCAAAGGTGCAGTCCCATGGCAGTCTACAAAAAATTGACCCATCGCCATATTAATCTACCTTGTCCTTGTGGCGATTCAACTATACTGGACACTGGGGATATAATGAAAATTATTATTGTTATTATTATTCGAAAGTCATCTATAAATGGGGATATATACTTATATATATATATGTGTAATACTTATAGATATTTAATGATATTTATATATAATATATCTACCAATAAACCCCAAAGAAATTGGAGTTTGTTGGTTCCCAACAGCTCCCTCACCTTCTCCACAGTGTCCACGGAGGAGAGGAAATTGGGATCTATGACCTGAAACGCTGCTGTTCAATGGCCATGCCAACATCCGATTTTCATGGGATTTTCGACATGAGAAATAACCCACGTGTGGAAAAAATATGGCGATTTATGGGATTTCTTGACATTCTGAATAGCAGAAAATCACCAACAAACCAGAAAATTAGTGAAAATTGAAAAACTTTGAGGTATCCCCCCTTTTTACGCTGCCAAAAATAGCACGAGCATGTTCCTGACTCTTTGCCGGAGCCGATGGGGCCTGGTGGGAAACGTGTTGGCGGATCAACTCACTGGGTGCCTCTTAACGAGTCTGAACATTGATCTGACCATGCGTACCCACCATGTATATCTATGATTTATGATCATCAAAAACCAGTGGTTCTGGTGTACTATGGTCCTATGCTTTACTATGCTATGAACAAGGTACAGATGATTCAAGGTTCCAAGATCTCCAAGGTACAGAAGCACTCTCTGTCGTCCGTGTCGTCGTCGTTGTGGTCGTGGTCGTTTCGCTGGTTGCTGTGCTCGTCGTGGCTTCGGCCACGAAGGCTGTGGGCATGATGGGCAGCGCAGCGTCGGGCGTCAGTGGTGCTGTGGTCTCCGACCAGAAGGAGTCCTTCCAGCGGCTGATGTAAACCCAAGATGTCTGCAACAGCCAATGGATTACTTTGTCACAAGTTTGAGACGTTGAATGCCAATGCTGTTGAGGCTTGAATCATAACATGCAACAGGGGTACATGGGTGTCTTAAGTTGGGTAATTTCGGTTGCCATCCCACGTTCGTTTGACAAAGTCACATGGGGTTTGACAAAAAAATGAGGATATCCCAAAATCATTGGTTGATTGCGAAAACTGATTATTTTCTCAACTATGAGATGGAATGGGGTCTTCCCCATCTCAAACAAGCTATAGCAACCCCCAATAAAGATAGGAAAAAGAAAAAAATACCCTTCTTCTAGAATCAAATTTTACAAATGTGACTTTTCTGCATCCTTTTGTGGTTTTGCTTCAACCTTGGATCCACCCCTTAATCCCCATCTGTCGTAACGTTGGCCTTCAAATTCATGAGGTCGTCCAGATCTTCCAATCCCTGGCGCTTCATGAAGCCCCAGTGGGTGAGTAGAATGAAGGACAGGAGGAACAGGCCACAGATTCCTGGGATTTCTGCGCTGATCAAAAGGATCAAAAGCTGAGTTTTGTCATGGGAAAATGGATCAAAAGGTGACTTTAGATGGGAAATTCACACGGAAACGAAAATCTCTTGGGGCCAGGAAAGAAAAACATAGCATACTCCCGGTGTCCGAAATCGGTGAATGTACCAAGCTGGGAACTTTTCAAAAAATCACAGCGTTCTCCAAGAAATCCAAGAGTCCAAGGGAGCAACAACTGCAGCGGCACCACATCCTCAGATGGTTTTGTCGGGGAATGAGCCCTTTAGTTACTGCGAAGAACCATTCGAAAGATGATCAAAGTTGAGCAAATTATGAGGGAGATCCACCCTTTTTGGACAGATATCAGATGAACAAGCTGTAGAATGTAGAATCTCTTTTAGATGTCGGTTTTACTGCTTGGTGGAGAACCATCTGGTATGCATCTGGTGAATTCGGATGATCTAGAGACAGTTTGAACAAATCCTAACCGCAAATGCCTTTGCATCCAATGAAGAAAACATGCTGACCTCAAAAATCATCGCAATGCCAACGCTGCAGTGTGTAGGAACCCCACATGTTTGTTGGTCAAATGCCCATGTTGGTTTGTGGATATCCACGTGTTGACTGGATAAATCGAAGTTTTTGCTGTTTGACATCCCCATATCTGTTGAATCTGTTGATTGACATCTCCACTCTCGGTCAATCTCCACATTTTTCCGGATTATAAACCCTCCAATAATGAATTTCCCATCAAAACTGCCATCTAGTTCGGGGGGTTCCACTGCCAGAGGGAAAATCCCCTAAAAATCAGTGGAGGCTTTACTGCGAAATCATCTACCCTCTGGTAAACATACAAAAAGCTATGGAAAATCACCATGCTATTAATGGGAAAATCCACTATTAATGGCCATTTTCAATAGCTATTTTGACATAACCAGAGGGTATAAATGGTGTATTTTCCCGCCACCACCTTTGAGGACACCAGGTTTCGATGCCACTTCCTCCGGGACATCTTCATCCACACCATCGACCTCCACGGGTTTGGAGCGGGGCTGGGACTCTCCGTTCTCCACCTATCGGAGCCGCCAGGTGAAGGGGGTTGGTCCTACCTATACGACATCACCAATACGAAGAGATACCCTCTGGTAATGACTAACATAGCTATTAAAATTGACCATTTATAGTGGATTTACTCATTGAAAATGGTGATTTTCCATAGTTATGTTAGTTTACCAGAGGGTATCAGCATCAACAATGGGGGGTGAGCAAAATTGTTTTTTTTTTTTTTCTGGGGGTATCCGCAGACTTGACCAATGAACCATGGGATTTTTTGACATCAAACTTGGAGATCTTGGATGCTCTATATATGGTGTTCTAATGTCAAAACTGTCAGCCATCCACCTCAGTGTTTGCCATGCCTAAGCGGCTGAGTGGCTATTTCAGCCCTTCGCTGTTGAAACGCCGAACGATGTGAATATTTCTGAATTCTTGGGGGACTCCAAGTTATCATTGAGTTATTTGTCATTCTCAACGGGCAAATCTATGTGTTTTTGTGTAATCACCCCAATTTCAAGACAAATCCATATTGTACCTTAAGATCATTGAGTCACCATGTCTTGCGCTCCAAGTGCCACACTACTTTACTCAAGCCGATTGCAGAATCACATTCTCAAACCCCAAATTCCCGCATGGTTTGCGATGAAGATCCATCAGCCACATCTGTTTTTTGGGGTTTTGGCGGCCGGAATCTCAAGGGATCCCCTCAGGGTGTGGCTCCAAAGAATTGACCCATAGATCCTGGCATTAAACGTCTATAAATTACCCAAACATCCCCACAGATACTTGGGAATATAAAGTTATTTTGGGAATATCTGTGGGGATGTTTGGGTAATTTATACTTATTAATTAATAGAATAGTAGACTTAATTAACATCCCAAAATTACTTACCCTCTGGTGAACATACAAAAAGCTATGGAAAATGGCCATAGAAATAGTGGATTTTCCCATTAATAGCATGGTGATTTTCCATTGCTATGTTAGTTCACCAGAGGGTATACTTATTCTCCATCTACTCTGGATGATAACTCTTGCCTATTCTAATGCACCTGTACATGCAATTAGTGTCTCTACCACTATTCCCAAACATCTCCCCAGTTATTGCCATGCCAAAATCAGATCACAGTGAACTCCCCCCATTTTTCTCGAGTCAGATCCAAGCGGCCAAAAGCCCCAAATCTTCATCACCAGTCCCAACTTCTTCGTCTTCGAGGGCGTCGCCAAACACGTCCGCGCGCGGCTCAGGCATGGGCCCAGGCTAAATGAGTTGCATCATCTGGGGAATGTCCGATGGTTTTTAAGGGAATCTTTGCCGGAAACTCAGTGTCTTTTTTGGCTCATCTCTGACCATCACATGGGGGATGTCCAGTAGATGCTGTTGAAGAACCTCAATGGTTGCTTGGTCCTACGGCGAGATTCGTGTTGAAGTTGAGGGTATGATTTTTCTTGTCCTTTCAGTAGGCCACGGGGGCATTCACGAAGTTCATACATTCAAAATATTCAAATTGACCTTTGACTTCTGGGATGTTGAACTGAGTGTTAAACCATAAAATGGTCACACACATATTGACCTCAAAGGTAGGTTCGAAAAAAACATGCCCTGACCATGTCCCATGAAGTGATTGGAAATCACAACGCGTAAAGCCAGAGCTTTCGGAGACTCGCAAGTGGTAAAAAGGCGGAGAGGTGGACCTGGTTGTGGTCAGTGACAGGCGACAGCCGCCTTATAAGTGGGATATGACAAGGATATACATTACATATCGGGGTGCCAATTCATTATGTGAAGCTGTGCAGGAGTTTTAGAGCGGTCTAACTTTTGTGCATAGGCCTCAGGCTTTAAAATGCACAAAAACAATAAAAACTGGCTCTGCAATAAAATGCCTTGCCACCAAATTCATGCTTGAATGTGCATCCAACATCATCCAATTTCATCCAACTTTGAAGACCCTCAGAAACGCATCTTTAAAAAGGGGTCAGGAAATTCTTTTTAGATAGGGGTATTTAGAGTGAAGGTGCCCAAATATTAAGTGTTTTTCTTTTTTTTATAGCGTTTTATAGCAACAAAATACGGTGGCATTCTTTCGTGGCAATTCCTTAAAATTCCTTAAAAATCCTTTACATTCCTTAGAATTCCAAAAAACTCCTTGAAAGTCCTTAAATATCATTTAAAATCTAAAAACATAAAAGATCCTTTAAAATCCTCCAAAATCCTTTCAATTCCGTCAAATTCCTTTAAAATCCTTAAAATTCCTCTAAGATTCCTTTAAATTCCTTAAAATTCCTTAAAACTCTCTAAATTCCTTAAATTTCCTTTAAAATTCCTTAATACTTCTTATAATTCCTTTGAAATTCCTTAATATTCCTTAAAATTCCTTAGAATTCCTTCAAATTCCTTAGAATTCGCTGATCTAAAATGACATGCCCAATAAAATCGATATAAAAAGATCCTGGAAAAGCACTGGTTCCATTCTGCAATAAAATGCTCCAAGCAAACATTCTTTTGCAATAAAATGAGAATGGAATTTTAACATGTTAAAAATCATCAGGATTTACCTTTACAATAAAATGCTTAGCCCAACCCCCCAACAATAAAATGACTAGCCTGACATCAATTTTAAAATTCCAATACATTAAGAATTTCGTTTAAACTATGCACAGGTTCACCAGTTCTAGAGTGGAAATTGCCACGGGGTTCATTACATGATATACATCAATATAATTCAATATATGGGGTTTTCCTAAAATGGGGCGTACCCCCCCCCCAAATCATCCATTTTAGATTAGGATGTTCATGGATTTTCCATGAAATCAACCATCCAGCTATTGAGGGCGGGTAGCTCCCATTTATGGAAACCCCTATCAGTAGGTCCGTTGCGGATCACGGTTGCTTCAAGATCCGAGCGAGCGAACAAAGGGCACCTGTCTGTTGGGATACTCCAAGTGAGAAATATCAGTAGATAAATGTGGGAGATGTTCCATCATCCAGTAGATAAATATGAGAAATATCATGAGAAATATCATACAGTTGTTTCATCATACAGTGTTTAATCAACAAGGAACATTGGTGGGATATGTTAAAAAACGCCGATGTTCCTTGATGGTTCAACATGTTGAGGGGCTGGTCAGCTTCTCCAGTTTGAGGGCAGGAGTTGAATGGGCAGATTACTGGGAATATCTCTAGGTCTTTAGCCCTAGAAACTAGAAACACCGTGATTTTGTGAATCAGCTCATTTGCCAAGAGCTGACTACCTTCTGGAATCACAGATCATCCTAATGTCTTGAAAGTCAATGTGGCTGATCCACAAAGTCACAGAACGATAGAACCGTTTCCGCTTTGCTGGTCGCGAAAGCGGCAAGAAATCCATCATCCATTCGGTTGCAACAAACGTCCAAACTACGTTGGAAGATGTTGGAAGATGTTGAAGTTGGAACCCAAACCCATAGGATCCATGGTGCTGCTATATATATATATGGTAACATGGATCCCATCAATATACAGTACCCCCTTTATGTTAGCATTAATATACCAGCACCATGGATCCGTCATGGGAAATCAAACCCGACACACTTCATTTCTGACTTCTCCACAGCTCCCGCCTCAGATCACGCTGAAAGGATCGCGCCGGGATCATCGGAAACCGATCGGAAAGCGACGGGAAACCGGGCCTGGTCAGTGGTGAAGAGCAACCCATGGGGCATCATTCAACATCAGATTCTCAACGTCTACGGCTTTGCAAGACTCAACTGTTGGGATATCAAGGCCTTGGCAACCAACTTTCTTGTACTTTCTTGCCGCTTTTGCCGTCGTTTTCTCACATCAAATAGTACAGACATAACCTGGTTGTCATGTTGGATCTTTTGTGGTTCTGTGTGATGAAGGGCCCTGGCTAGTCATGTTCTTCCCGCCCGCAAGAGGCACCCCCATGTGACCCTCTTGCCATCGTCACCCGCCTCTGTTCCGCTTCGGACTTCGGCCAACATACCTTTTCGATCTCAAAAGTTGATGCCTCGGCGTATCTGGGTCCCACTCAAAGTTATTCTTCCACAGTGTCTCGACTTAGAGTCCGAGTGGTTTCTAGAATTCTGACCAGTCGACGAAACTTCGGCTCCATTTGCTGTATGCTGTGACTACCAGCAGTCTGTGGGATCTGGTTTCAATCAATCTGTGCTTTAAAAGATGGAGGCAACCTCCTGTGTGAAGTGCCCCCTGGGCGATAGGTCTGTGTCTTCCCCCGCAGCGTCTCTCACTACAACATATTTAAAATATTTCAAAATATGTGTTCATTGTCCAAACCACTTTCTGCTACATCTTGGTAAAGGGTCATGCGAAATATGTCATGTTGAGCTGATGGGATGTTCACTTGCTGTCAACATTCATCAACGCAAGGGGACGAATCGCCACAGCTTAAAATCTATTTGCGGCTTGCGACCAAGCCATAGAACACGGCATACTGCGCCATCAATGGCACGGTTTCGTGCACAAAGCCAACTTCTTTGGCAAAACCATGTGCCATGAGCATTGCATTGATCCACTGGCCGATGTGGTCGGAATCGAAATCCCAGTCCCGCTGGTCCATCAAGGCACGCCAAATGAAGTCAAAGGATGGACCATCTGTGATGCGAGGCTGTCGTGCGTGGAGAATGAAGCTGCGACCACCGTTGAAGGCGTCAAGCCACTTGGGATCAGGAGTGCTGGAAGGAGCTTCCGATGTCCTTGGATGATCGTGGACTTGACTTTCAAGGTAAACTTTACGCCTTGAAAAAACAAGAAAATAAAGAAATAATAGCTGATGGATATAATGCATGATTTAATTTTCAATAATGGTTTTGACTCTAGTATAGACAAACATAATCAAATTATCTGTCATTCTGACAGAATGCTCAAGAAAATAAATGGTCTTCCCATCTCAACCAGCTCAGCTTCCAATTGCCACCACAAGAGACATCAGCAATCTTTTGCCCAGCCACATTGCGGTAGAGAAATTGACGACTTGAGACATCGAAGCGCCACTGTTCCCCGACCCAAACTGCATCTGGCGACTGACAGTTCTGTCCGTCCTCGTCGCAAACACCCACAAAGTCAAGGCTTTGCAACTTGCCGAGGCGGTCAAAACACATCACTGTGGCAGGCCCTTTGTATTCAACGCATAGGTCGTGGACAATTTCACCATTTCCATTTTCAGGACAAATGATGGGATCTCCCCGCGCAGAGAAGGACCAACTGCGGCGCCGCTCTGCTTCCAGCCTTTCGCGTGCCTCTCGTTCTTGCCGTGCTTGCTCCTCCAGACGTCTGCGTTCGGCTTCCAGTTTCTTGCGTGCCTCTCGTTCTTGCCTCTCTGTCTCCTCCAAACGTCTGCGTTCGGCTTCCAGTTTCTTGCGTGCCTCTCGTTCTTCTCGCTCTGTCTCCTCTAGACGTCCGCGGGCCGCTTTTAGGTCAGCCTCTTTCTGCCGGCTCTCCTTCAAATTTTCTTTGAGCTGCTCATGCTCTTTATCCAACTCCTCCTTCTCTTTCTCCAGCCGTGACAGATCAGCCTGAATGGACTCCTGATTCATCTTGCCACTCCTGCGAAGCTCTTCCACGCGTCTCCAACTGTCCTCTTGACTCTCCTCATGCTGCTTGTCCCAGTCCAGAAGCTGCATGAACTCCCGCAGCTGTGTCATGAATGGCTGCGCAGCATGCTGGATCCACCCTGGAACACCTGGAAGATCCAAGAATGATCCACCATCAAGCAGAGATTTGTGAGTCAACCCGAGCCTGCCCAACGAGCGGGGCATTGCCAGCATGAAGCCATTTTCAGCCCCATCCTTCAAGTGCTTCAAGTCTGCAGCCAGCTCTTCTTGGCTCCTGGGTCAGCACTGGATCCAGTCGTTGTGACCCAATGGTCATGGCGTATCCATGTTTCTGCTAAGACAGAGTGGAACGATTTGCAAAGTAGACTGAATACATGGATATAGACATATAGAAGCAGCATCCAGAAACAGTGACTTCCTTCCTACAAGAGCAAAACCATTGAAAGTGCATCCAGAAGCAGCGAGCCCTCTTCCTAAACATCCTAAACTGGTCCAAGGCTCACACTGGGATCTTTGCCATACAATGGCTCGTAGAAGTTAATGAAGTTCGCCGGAAGCTTCGTGCCAAACTCGTGCGGTTGCACCACTGCCGCGGTTGCCAGCAAGACCCAATTCCTCGGCATGGTGTAAACATCCCTGGGGGCGGATACACCCAGATGTTTGAGTGCATGGGTTACACTCTCAAAGTGCATAAAGGATCCGAAAAAATCCCCAAGTCTGCCTGCTTGCGTGGCCGACATCATGGGGCAAGAATTGAAAGGTATGAGATATGGGCAAGATATGAGCTGGGTGGGCAACAGTCAAGAATGTGAGAGCGCGAGAAAAATCCTGATTCCTTTACACATGGAAATCTGCTAGCTGCTAGCTTATATGGCCAAGTGTCATGCTGCTGTCGGCACAGAACTGAATAGGGGTTGCTTAAGCTCAGAAATGGCACTGAGGGCAGATGCGAGTACAACAGAAACACACACAAGAAAAATGACATCGCACCATATTTGCAACCTGCGAAGGAACCGGCACGGGCTGAAAGGTGTCTACGACTCAGATGGATTTTAGTTCCAGACTTCTAGAAGGATTCACAGACCCGGAAGCAGCGACGACCTGAAGCTGATGCATCTGTGTTTTGAAGCACGGCTACCCTTGGCGGACGAAACATGGAAATTTCTGGCAGATGAGTGGGGACGTTTTGTGAGTTTTTGTGATCCGTTCCTGCCTTTTTGGCATGATATGCAAGGCAAACTGTGCCAGGCAGCTCTTGATCAGAAACGCCAAGGCCAGAGAGGATGGACAGCAGCTCCTTCCTGACCATTCCACTTCCTGAGACCGGTTCACAACCGAGTCATCACACCAACAACACCAACCCACGGGCCCATCGCATCCTGACAGCAGATCTCTGAGCTTCGGAAGTCGGGTGTTTCGCTTCAGGGCCCAACAAGAATCCACCACGGACCATTTCGTTGCCTTTGTTGGGAAACGCAACAGTTTGGGGATTGGAATGCCTCCCTGCTTTTTGGGACATCCCTAAGGTGCATCAACAGCCTTGGCCCTTACTGACGGTTTCAGACATACCACCCTAAAGGAACGGTAGAATTGCAGTAATTTGCATAGATTTGCCGCTTCTTGGCTTGGCGTGGATGTCAACGATATGGAGTGTTAACTTGGAAACAAAACTTAGACCAACCAACTAATAAAAGCAAAAGCCTGTGACCAGTTGAAACGGCGCAGCTGGACATCCGCAAACACATCCATGAAAAAGTGGAAAAGAATCCTATACACGATAGAACATGATATACTTGAACTTGCGAGGCAATCCTTCTGTGATCACAACGTTTTTGATGCAGTGTCAACTTGGATGATTAGACAAACCTAGGTCAATCGGTGAAAACCTGCAAGAGGTTGAAACAAATGCCCGGGACATGCCTAAACGATGGTAATGGGCACGATTCGTCAAGGAAGCGGGTGAAATAATCCCTGACTTGATCCCAACAAGTTTGTTGTTTTCACATGTTTTCACCATATCAGCTTCCAACGTCAGAACAGCGTGGATTCCGAAGTTGGAGGTCTCACATCTGGGACGCCCTGCCGAGGTATCTGGGCCATCCTTTGCCATGAAGGTGGAATTCCCTAGGGGGATTTCCGCAAGGATGGTGAAACTCCGCATTGAATGTGGTGAAAACATGAAAACTTCTGGTTCCAAGTTCCAAGTGGATCACCTGTTGAAACTCTGGAGGTCTGGCAATCCATTGATTTCAAACCAGGACAGGCTCTGGAACGGCATAAGAACCTTTTTTTCGCCAAGGGTAAGCAACAAGCCGGGTCTGCAATCCAGATTCACCAGCATGTTTGAGATTCATAATCTAGTAGGTTTAGGTTAGTCATGGTGTGATGTCTCTTCAATCCTGAAAATCAATGAACTCTGGGTGAAGACAAGTGTAAGCTGAGCCGAGAACTACGGGAATTCGAACCTTTGGTATAATGTGCACATGAATCACCTTCAAATAACTGTATTTCTCCCATGCCATGTCCATGTCGCAACAAATACCTACGGCCTGTCACTGCCTGAAGCAAACGTCCGAAGGTTTTGCGACTCGGCGCGTGCTCAGTTACAAGATGTTTTTCAGGTTCGTCTACCTTGAGAGTAGCAGGGACTTTTAGACCCATGTTCTAGATGTTTTGAATGTCTCACTTCGGGTGAACTCTTCTGATCGTTAAGGATGATCTGCCTGATACTTGACCTACTTTAATCAGGAATCACAAAGGATCGCACAATCGGAGGGTGGAATCCGGCAGCAATACCCTTTGATTTCCGCCACATTCTTCGATTTTTTTGACTCTGCCGCTGCCTAATTGGCAAAGATGCCACTGCTGGTAACAGAATCCGCAATCTGATCGGCAGCGCCTTCAGCATTGTTCATCTGCCGATCATCTACATACACTAGACCGTTCTTGAACACAAATTCATTTTGAAAAGTGCCTCTTGGATTGTTTTGCGGCGCAGGTGCCCACTCTTCGCAGAGCCTAGTGGGAAAGATATGCAACTTGTTGTCGTGTGCATATTCCAATTCATGGAAGGTTTCCTCACCAGCACCAGTATAGGCGCCGTCGCGCAGAAAGCCACCATGCCTTTGGCACGGGCCAATCCTATCCGCGTCAGCTCGGCAAAACTTTGGCCAACCTGGGTTTGGGCCACAAACACTGGAACTCTTCTCTCTTCCAGACGCCTTTTCACCATTCTCATGTAATTCATCGTCCTCGGTGGCCAGAAAAGTCCACATGACAGGGAGGATGGAACCAATTGATGATGACCGATGGTCCCACCAATAAAAAGCCCCCACCAATAACGGTTGCCATTGGCACACCTGCTTCTTGGGGCTCTCATGAGGGCCATCCCGGCGAAAAGTCTGGATCACCAATCAGTTTATGGGATTACAATGATATTATGGCGGGGATACTGATAGTAGGATTTATAGTTGGACATGACATATCTTATTAAAAATAAATAAATAAAAATATTAAAATGATAGGTTGCACATGTGCTATCGTCAAGTTCGATGTGTATGCAATGGGATGATCAGGGGATAAATGGGACAAAGCCATCCACAATTGTAGGGATTATAATGGAGATATTGGGCGTTAACCATCAACGATATCATGATATGGTAGTAATAAACATGGGATGAATGGGGTATGGTCATCCATCCCATGCCATGGGAATCCACACATGATTGGTATATAAAGCCCTATTCATTGATTGATGCCCAAAGGCAAATGTCATAAAAAGAAAAGCAAATTGGACATGGAACTAGCACAATCTTTGTGTTTAGATCATACCTCAGCCCAAAAGAAGTACAATCATGGGAGCGCTCTGACCATCCCCTTTATCGTAAATCAAACTCGCCGTTGACATCACGAGGAAACATTCAGGGAAAATCTTTTTGGGAACCATGGGTTTTTCGTTTCAAATATGGTGGTAAAGCCTGCAAATGTTCTCTTCAAGCAATTCTGGGACTGTGACCCTTAAACATCTAACGGCCATTAACAACACTATGCTTAAGCCCATATGATTGGCATATCTGTTTAACCCATACAATTATGTGGCGCCTTAAACTGTAACCTTGGAGTACCCCAAAACCTTTGGTTTCCCACAGAAAATGGAGAATTTGGGATGACAACTGATAACTTGGGGTCCGCCACTTCAAGAAAAAACCATTTACCAAGTATTTGGGTTGATCCAAAACATTAGTTTGAGAAGACCCCCAGAGTCCAAAAGCTTAAAGCCTGGTTTTCCTCATTTTCCCCATGGTTTCCCCCATGATTTGGTGACCCATTCCCCACAAAAACGGCCGATCTCCCACCGCAGCCCTGGGGGGATACCTTCTTCGGCACCGTCCAGGGTGCTGCGGCTGCGGTCACCACATCATGAAGGGATGGGTCCCGCATGGCGACGTTGGCTGGTTTTTGGGTGTGACACCTGCGGGGTAACCTGAGATGTAGGGGATATGTATAGAAACTTATTTAAAATGTGAAGATATGTGAATATGATACATGTATTATTGATATGCATGTGTGTTTTTGAATTCCGAATTGATTGATGTTACGTTTAAAAAGGGTCTTAGAAGTGATAACGGTTGGTGGAATTTTGACTTCGAATTGGGGAAAGGAAGGGCCTGGCTCTAGCTACATATACCTTTGTGAGATACTACAAAATAAAGTGATGAAAGCCACCAGTGAAGCCACTGAGACATAAAAGTTTCCTGACATCTTGATCCAGCTGGCCATATGCAGGAAGAACCATGATACTCTGTGCGATGACAAATCAAATGTGATGTACAGCATTTGCTTTCCTTGCCATTCATCCCCATTTGGTACCATCTGTAGTTAATTCACTTCACAGAAGGAAGCTTTTCCCATTGCACTGAAGACTCCAACCCTTCAAAATGGGAACGGTCATGACATTTTTGGTTTTCAGGCCATGGCCACATCTTCGCAATCTGTTTTCCTTCGCCCAATTGTTGCAATTGCTATGCCATTTTCGGCAACAGCATGTGAAATTCTGTGCGCCTTGTCGACAAACACAATTCAGCGCGTGAAACATGATGTGCAAATGATCTGGTGACGTTCTCTAGCAGGCCAAAGGATATTGCACTATACCAATTGGACTTGTGTTTCTTTTGGATTCTTTTGGTGTGCTTCAGTTGGAGTTTCCGGATATAGTGGCTGTAAAGTTCTGCTCCAATTCTCCTGCGCTTCATTCTCCGAAGACATGGCAAGTGCATTACGGCATATCCTTCGGCCAACTCCGATTTCCTACATGGGGGTTTCCTGAAATGGGGGTACCCCCAAATCATCAATTTTAATATGATTTTCCATTATAAACCATCCATTTTACGGTACCCCCATTTATGGAAACCACCACATGGTTTCATAGACTTGCGGTGTCGCAACTTGGTAGCAGCCTGTCCGACTGACCATCTAAATCTATCTAAATCATTCTAAATCTACAATCGGATCTTCAGCTGGGGTCGCTGCTCCATCACTTTGCGAAGGGCAGCTGTCCCGATGTCACTGAAGCCTGGCTGCTACAACTTCGAGTTGTGTCCATTTCAACATCTTCTCATCTCAAAGACTCCAACATCGTCGTTCATCTTTCCGAGATTGGGGGTGAAAAAAACATGCCGTTTTTCCAAAGGTTCAAAACAATGTAAAACAATGCCAAACATATCGCCAAAACACGGTTTCCAGTCAGACTCAGATGTTCCAATCGATCAGCAGCTGAGCTCATCAGTGCCTCTGATATTGCATCTGCATCTTCATCTTGTAGAGAACACGACTCCATTTGGATGTCCGCTGCGCCTGAGGTCACCATCGCCACGGCATCTTGCCCCTTCAGGGCATTGCCGTTCACCACCATGTACTCCAACCTGTTGTAGTGCGGCAAGGCGTCATGTAGACATTCCAAGTCATCCCCAGAGAGTTGTTGGAGCTGCAAGTGTGTTGTCTTGGAGACTTTGTCTCTGAACACCTTCTCTTGCAAAGCAAGCACCTGCTCGGCATCATTTCGATGCGTGAACCGCATCCGTTGCATCCTCTTCCTGAATATTTCTGGAGGAGTGGGAATACAACCTCCAAGCACATCCATACGCAGGCGGGACCACTCAGATTCACTCTGGCACCAACCTCGAAGCTCATAGGGGGGGTTGTTCAGCCTCAGCTCGCAGATTGGTGTCAGTTTCACCTGGTCTTCCGTCGCGTTGTACACCAAAATCTCGCCCTCGAACTTCTTGTCCTCAGGTGTGAGTTCAGTGAGGATGTCTACCTGCACAATCTCATGACTGTAAAGCCAGTGCATTCGCTTCAGCCCCTTCCTGAAGAACTCATCTTCTTCAGCAGATCTCTTGTACTGATACAGCGACATGAAGTCCACGAAGACCCACGTCACCGAATCCTTGGGTAATTCTCGGTACCTCTCCACAATGCTGCGGACCTGGAATCCCCAGGGATCCGGATGCTCCATTGCCTCCCACATGTGGGAGATTGACCGGAATCGCACTATGGAGGGGCCCTCAGCCGTGCGGATTGTGACGTGTCCTCACAGGGCGGACACTATGTAGTGCCAGACAAGTATAAATCTGATGATTACAGTAAAATTCAATCATATGCGGACCAGAAATCTAGCACAACATCCATCGATCTACAATAATATACAATTATGTTTGCCATCTTGAGACCGTAAAGTCATTTGAAATCATCTCTGGTGTTTCTGTACCTCTGGATGTTTGCAGGGACTGAGCCAGCCTGATGTTTGATTCACGTGCAACTCTTTGTACTCACTAAGCTCCACCAGTGCAGTTGCCCCACTCTGCACGTGCATGAACTCTGCCTCTTGTCGGCGAGGCATGGGGGTCCCAGTTTCATCCAGCTCGATCAAAAACTCGGCGCGGACCAGCCGAATGTTCGCGGAGATGAGGAACTCAATGAAGTCGTTGGGATTTTGCAGATCGCCTCGCAGCATCATACAGACGGACCGTGACTGCTAGAGCAGCCCCTGGATTTCATCGTGGCTCAGTCAATTCCGGTCCCAAACTCTTAAAAATCAGACCATGGAGATGATGTGTGACTTTGGATCCAACTAATGATAATTGGAATACCTGTTGACGGTTGACAGCGTGTGTTTGTAAGTGCTGCATTGAATACCCTACTGAGCTTGTCTCTTAGCAGACATCCCCTCTTACCCACCCAACTATAAGAACTACCACCAATTTATAGCATTGATTACCCTGATCAATCACAAGCGCCATCATCTTTGCGGCCTTCATCCTCTGCCAACTGCTTCTCCTGTGGGATCCAGCCATATTCTACAAAGTTCAACAGAAATCACTGCGTATAAGGTTCATGAAAATCAGGTGTGTATAGAGATGCTGTGCTTGTTGAAGGTGCATCTCAAATGTCTGGGTTCCGTCTTCGGATGTTATCTCACGAACCTTTGGAGTTGATCCCAGCAATGCAGACCCAAGCAACGCAACGTACACAATTTGCAATCCTTTACGCACAGAAATGCACACATGAGAATTCCGCCATCACCTAGCTACATGGAGCTGCATCCAAAGACTGGACATTGGCAAATCTTGCAACTTTCAAAGTGGCTGCCATTGAAGTTCTGGCCCACCCGGCCGTCATTTCACGGGAATTCCAGAGCCTCCCTGCAGAATGTTGTGTCCCACATCGATACGACCCGCCTCTGAGACATCACCCTGCCCCGCTGCTGGCGCCTACAAAGCTTCGAAGCAAAATGTAGCAGGGAAAAACATGATCAAGAAAAGGTGCTCTGCAGCTAATTTGCAAACATCTTGGTCACCATAAGGGATGCGATAACAACTGTGCGGAGCTAAGAACTGATCTCATGACTTTGGGCTGAATTGAATCGACAGTTTGTTGCCGGTTTTGCAGTATTTTCTTGTAAAATCGAGTTCCAATCAGAATCTTCCCATGGCAATGGGTGATTCACATATTTCACATCACTTTTGGCCGGGGCGCGATGACTGCGGTCAACGTATGTCCAGGCAAAACACCGGCTTCTTCCAGAGTCTTTGCTTCGTTCCTGATGGCTGGGCCAAGCTCCACATTGTTTGGGACAGCGAACTTGACAAATTTAGGTCTGATGCACTCGCTCCAGAGCTTCAGGAGTTGACTCCTACAATTAATCAATTACAAGTCTATTGCGACCGCGTTGTGAGGATGAGAGTAAGTTCGCTGAAAGCCAGCATGACCAATGCATCTAAAGAGTGCGGTGATGCCTGGTATAGAATATATATTATATGATATGGCTAGGATCCCTGTAGATCAATGACATTGTCAAACTTGTTCGAATTATCTTAATCAACTGGTTCTACTTGCATATGATCATCCTTCACTGTGCGATATCTTCTCTAACCAAGAGGAATTCTTCGATCAAACCAAGTCATCCAAGACTAGATCGTCAAATTTATCAGATCTGGACCACTTTCTCTGGAATGCCGTGCTCGCTGCCGAGCACAAACAGACCGTGACTGATCCGTGAACGACCCGTGAATCACTTTGAACCAACCGTGGGTAGGGACATGGTCAACTTAATTAAGCACATGTAAAACTGAATGCTACCAAGAATTAACCTACAAAGTCACAGAAAGCAGGATATGAATTGACCTCGTAAAACTTGCGCTGAATAGCAATATCCAGGCTAAGTTTGCACTTTGGACGATAAGATGTGATAAGATGTGATAAGCGGTTTCATCCCCAATATTTCCCGAAAGGCAGACCTTTGCATTCGTGGCCGCTTCTGCTGTTTGTTCTGCAATGTTCCGCATCACTCTTTCACTGACTCTCTCGAACAAACAGCAACAGCTGCACCTTCTGTCTCATTTGAAGCACTATCAAACAGCTTTCCCATCGCATCGTATAATATATTTGTCTTTTGCCATCAGCATCTACTATGCCGGCAGAGCCTTGAAAACGGTTTCCAAATATTTCCATTCTAAACGACCTTGGTCACCTTATCACATTGAATGTCCCCAGCTGCATGGGGTGAAAGATTCGAATACACCAAACCACCTCGAAACACGGAGGTCCCCATCGTCACTGAAGAGTCTTGTCACTGACCCAGTGAGCATCCCAGAAGGCTCAGGCTCCAGATTCGTATAGAATCTACATACATCTAAACGTCGTCCCTCTATTCGGCATCAAGTTGTGTGCCAAGCAGCAATGGTTCCATGTTCACCCCAATGAGACGCTGGATGGTGATTCCGAGTTTCTTCCTCGGAACCGCGACGCGTGGCACGGTGGAGCACGGGGTGTCCGGCAGGGCCAACTGACACATGCCAGGGTCACATCTTGGTGACAGCGCGTGAGCTCACTAAGATCTGACTATCACCCCTGCATATCCCATCTTTCCCATGCAACAAACAGGAGTGCCAGATGCAATGAAAGATAATGATATGATAAACCTATATAAACCTCATCAATCATATAAATAATGTTGGGGAAGTGCAAGCCTCGATCTGCAATGGCTCATTCACGCTTCATAAGCCAATTTCGGACTGCAGGGAACTTACAGTAGCTTATTAAAGCATCACAGGTCTTGTGTAGCCGTGGGTAGGCAACGCCATGCCTCTGAATAGCGGGATGACATGTTCAATTTGCACAATCAGATGAATTACGGCACAAACATCTTTGGACTTGCTGCGAAACGCAAAAACATGTTGTCGCCGTCGCATATATTTTGCCATGGGTTTGCATGCTGTTGCTATGCGTGTCGTCATACCATTGTTGTCGTTGCATTCTCGGCCAACATGGTACATTGAGGAATCCAGGAAGTCTTATTGCAACAAAGGCAGTGGACAGAAGAGGCTGCCTGATTTGCCCTGTCAAGTACATTGGAGGAGGGATGTAAATTTCTTCGTTCAGAGCCTACCATATTGTATCTTCTTCAATAATACCAACTGCATGAAACAACTCCTACAGACTCAGGGAGATGGAAATGAAAAAGACTCAGCACGGTCAAAGTATGGCCATGCGAGTCCAAGATATAAAAAAATCGCCATCAGTCGGCTCATGGAATATTAATTAGCATATGTCCATCTCACAAACGCATTAATTACTGTAGATCAGAATGCAAGAACTGCAAACGTTGTCAGACCAACAGAACACAAGCATTTCGACCAAGATGGTTTGATATGGCCTCGGAGAAAGCCAAGCTTCTCTGCTTCTTCCTTCAATTCTTGCACCGTCTCGTGATAAGAACTACCTGAGTGTCATAGTTGCTTGCATTCCCAGGTTGCACATAACAGCCACTCACCAACAGCTCAGGTTTGACGGAAAATATCAGAAACGTTGATGTGTGGCACCCAACAAACCGTACAGCCTTTTATGTCTGCAGGTCCCATCAAGTGAAAAAGTCACTCACCCCATGCATCTTTTGAGCACTTCAATTGCTTGGTTCTCTTCAAATTCTACACATTGCCAATCCAGATAACCCTGAAACACCCTACATGACTGGCAAAAGATTGCGACGAATTACGGCACTAAAGTACCTGTCCACCATTTACCCACTGCAAATTTCGGAGCAGCCGAGGCACATTTGCAGCTCCGGCCACTGAGAAGGGCCACAAATACCTCACAAAAAGAATGGCAACGCATCGGAGTCAATTCGAGCGCATGACACCTTAACAACATCAGGATTGCAACGACCCAATAAGAACAACCCTCATTTCTTCATAGGTTCCTATAGCCCACGTGTGCCGAAGCCCTGGTCCACCAAGGGATGTTCATCCCAGCGCCAAGGGACCGGGTCCAGGACGCCCATCACCTTCCGGCGGCCGAAGTGCTTGGCTGTGTCGTACGGCGTGACGCCTTGCTCTACGCAGCTGGAAGTGCAACGGCCCGGTGTAGACGGATGTGGGGCTGAGTTTGGGCCCCCAAATCCAGATAGATAGTATATAGTATCATTATGTATCATTTAGATTCATTTAGTGTCATTGCTTTTCAAGTTGTTTTACGGATTCTTTACGTTGATGTCTGGAAGACATCCTAGCATATTTCCTACATATCACCCGCTATACATGACCTTATCGTTAGTTATCCTGACCGCTGTTGCCAACATCATATCATTCTTAATAAGTTCTTACCGTGGTTTCGGTATACGCTGTGCCAGTGGATGCCACCGTCTTCTGTGGCTTGTGTCGGTTTGTCATCCCATGTTGACACCTGCCAAACATCTAACCATGAAAGCGCGCAAAAAAAAGCAATCCCCACAGCCTGAAACAAACTCAGAATACGTTCATGTTTCTGGCTTCGCTGGTGCAGTGAATGCACTTTAGAAGATTCAAAAAAAAAATCATCCCAATGCCATCTACAGGAATTACCACCTATTAGTTATTAGTTTTATCCTGCCACAGCTCTGTGCACATGGCGCATTCAAAATCATCAAACAACTTGTCACCGAGTTGTTCTTTCACTCACTCTGCATCACATCATCCCTCCCTCCACCCCCTGTCGTCCCCACCGGCCGTTTCCGGGGCCCCTGGCCGTTGTTGTCCGCAGCATCCACGGCGGCGCCCGCGGCGAGGAGCCGCTCCACGACGGCGGTGTGGTTGTTCAAAGCCGCGTAGTGCAGCGGTGTCGCACCTCAGGCGTCGAAGGGCTCGGAGACGTCAACGGCTGGAGGGCTCCACCCCGTTGCTCTCCACCGCCCACCCCCACTGCAGTGGGAGAAACTGCAATCTGTGGAGTGAAGTCTGTGAGTTTCATCTTTTTTTAAATTGTATAGCGAGCTGGATCAATGGCAGCCACTAGGTTCAATGGCAGCCACTATCGTTGCTGGTGTTTATTAAGATCACCAAGACTACGAACAAATGGAACCTTTCACAACAGAAAATCTCAAAAAGGGAAAACCGTTTTCTTACGCCTAACAAAACTTATCTCAACCTGCCTCAAGCATTCTCAAGCCCACTTTTACACCCATGCAGTAGGCCCATACCGGTAGCAAATGTGCAAGAGTTCTTCTCTCTCTCAAGATGTCTTCTGATGTCTTATGGTGTTTCACATCGATGTCTTACCATCGTCATGCAGAGAATGTGTTGTCAAAGGTGGACATGGCGCGTGGGCAATTCCTCTTATATCCTTGCAGTGATGGGGCACCCCAAAGATGCCAGTGGATGCCACTGTGTTCTGTCGCTTTGTCAACTCATGTATTGTCACTTGCCAAATATCTCTCCATGGCGTTTTAGAAGATTCCAAATCCCACCTGCAGCAAATACCACCTACTAGTTTTATCCTGCCACAGCTCTGTGCACATGGCGCATTCAAAATCACCAGACAACTTGTCACCGAGTTTGTTCTTTCACTCACTCTGCATCAGATCATCCCTCCACTCCATTCCCTGTCGTCCCCACCGGCCGTTTCCAGGGCCCCTGGCCATCACTGCTTGCAGCATCCACGGCGGCGCCCGCGGCGAGGAGCTGCTCCATCACAGCGGTGTGGCCGTTGAGAGCCGCCGAGTGCAGCGGTGTCCGACCTCAGGCGCCGAAGGGCTCGGAGACGTCAACGGCTGGAGGGCTCCATCCCGTGGCTCTCCACCGCCCACCCCCACACTCGACTGGGAGAGGCTCGAATCTGCGGAGTGAAGTCCCTGAGTTTCATCTTTTCCAAAATTGTATAGCGAGCTGGCTCAATGGTAGCCACTATCTGTTGCTGGTGTTTGTGAAGATCACCAAGACTACGAACTGATGGCACCTTCCAGAAAAGGACATCCGAAAAGGGGAAAACTGTTTTACGCCTAACAAATTAAACTTGTCTCAACGTATCTCGAGCATTCTCAGGCTCTCTTTCACACCCATACAGTAGGCACATACAGATAGCACATGTGCAAGAGTTCTTCTCTCTCAACGTGTCTTATGATGTCTTGTGGTGTTTCATATCGATGTCTTACCATCGACATGCAGAGAATGTTTTGTCAAAGGTCGACATTGCGCGTGGGCAATTCGTGTTATATCCCTGGAGTGATGGGGCACCCGAAAAATGCCCGTGGATGCCACTGTGTTCTGTCGCTTTGTCACCTCATGTATTGTCACTTGCCAAATATCTCTCTATGGCGTTTGAGAAAATTCACAAAATCCCAATCCCACCTAATTACCACCGCTCCTGCCACTGCTCTGTGCACATGACGCATTCAAAATCACCAGACAACTTGTCACCGAGTTTGTTCTTTCACTCACTCTGCATCAGATCATCCCTCCACTCCACCCCCTGTCGTCCCCACCGGCCGTTTCCAGGGCCCCTGGCCATCACTGCTTGCAGCATCCACGGCGGCACCCGCGGCGAGGAGCTGCTCCATCACAGCGGTGTGGCCCCATTTCGCCGCGTCGTGCAGCGGTGTCCGACCTCAGGCGCCGAAGGGCTCGGAGACGTCAACGGCTGGAGGCTCCACCCCGTGGCTCTCCACCGCCCACCCCCACACTCGACTGGGAGAGGCTCGAATCTGCGGAGTGAAGTCCGTGAATTTCATCTTTTCAAAATTGTGTGGCAAGCTGGCTCAATGGCAGCCACTATCGTTGCTGGTGTTTGTGAAGATCACCAAGACTACGAACTGATGGCACCTTCCAGAAAAGGATATCCGAAAAGGGGAAAACCGTTTTACGCCTAACAAATTAAACTTATCTCAACGTATCTCGAGCATTCTCAGGCTCTCTTTCACACCCATACAGTAGGCACATACAGATAGCACATGTGCAAGAGTTCTTCTCTCTCAACGTGTCTTATGATGTCTTGTGGTGTTTCACATCGATGTCTTACCATCGACATGCAGAGAATGTTTTGTCAAAGGTCGACATTGCGCGTGGGCAATTCGTGTTATATCCCTGGAGTGATGGGGCACCCGAAAAATGCCCGTGGATGCCACTGTGTTCTGTCGCTTTGTCACCTCATGTATTGTCACTTGCCAAATATCTCTCTATGGCGTTTGAGAAAATTCACAAAATCCCAATCCCACCTAATTACCACCGCTCCTGCCACTGCTCTGTGCACATGGCGCATTCAAAATCACCAGACAACTTGTCACCGAGTTTGTTCTTTCACTCACTCTGCATCAATGCAATGGTTGAAGTCACTGCCAGGATTCAAGTTTGACGCACTGGGCATTGCCAACATCAGATCATCCCTCTACTCCACCCCCTGTCGTCCCCACCGGCCGTTTCCAGGGACCCCGGCCATCGCTGCTTGCAGCATCCACGGCGGCGCCCGCGGCGAGGAGCTGCTCCACGACAGCAGCGTGGCCACGTTCAGCCGCCCAGTGCAGCGGTGTCGCACCTCAGGCGCCGAAGGGCTCGGAGACGTCAACGGCGCTCCACCCCGTGGCTCTCCACCGCCCACCCCCACACTTGAGTGGAAGAGGCTCGAATCTGCGGAGTGAAGTCCGTGAATTTCATCTTTTCAAAATTGTGTGGCAAGCTGGCTCAATGGCAGCCACTATCGTTGCTGGTGTTTGTGAAGATCACCAAGACTACGATTACGACCTGATCATACCTTCCCAAGCGGGAAAAATCCGAAAAGCGACACCGAACTGGTTGTATGCCTGATAAAACATCATAAAACCTTATGTATCAGGCTCTTTTACACCCATAAAGGGTTGATCAAGGTTGCACATGTGCAAGATCACCTCTCCGAAGCTGTGCATCCCAGCAGGGACAACTTCATGACTTCATGTGCCTGCATGATTTCCTTCAAATTGTCCACCCTGTGGCTAAGGTGGCGAACACCATCGAATTTCATCCTGAAATCCGTGGCACCGCCTTCCCACCACGTCCGTCCTGTCGCGTCCGTCCCGTCTCTGAGGGCCGCAGCCGTTGTCGTTCTTCGCCTCGACCCATGCCCCGGCGGCGAGCAGCACCTCGACTACCTCCGGGTGGTTTTTGGCAGCCGCCAGGTGCAGCGGCCGGAAGCCTCGGTCCGGAGGGCGCCGCTGGAGATGGCGACGGGACGCGCCAAGTCGCATGGGTTGCTTCGGAGGATTTCGGAGGATTTCGGGTCTGAAAATTTGGAGATTGGTCCATTTCTAATTGAGACATGCATCACTGCCTATCGAAATCAGGATCAACTGATTGGGAAGTCACACCTCTGTGGTGCCATACACTGCAAACCAGATCAAAGATTCACAATAACACACTAGAATCTAAGCAAGAAATCATTAGAATCCATTTGCATCCATCTGCCATAATTAACAATACTAGACCCGCAAAATGTCTCCTCAACTTGACGCAACCACCCGAACCACACTGAATAATATTGTCAAACCTGTAACTGGTGTCTACTGGTACTTGACTTCTCAACATGCAATCACGTAAAGTACACTGAAGATTCCTGGAACGAAGTTCGCAAAACTGGCAGCAAAACTGGCAGCAAACTCAATGTCGTGTCGCATCTCTCTACTTTCGCCTATTGCACCGCCTTCCCACCACGTCCGTCCTGTCGCATCCGTCCCGTCTCTGGGGCCGCGACAGAATTTGTTCATCGCCTCGACGGAGGCGCCGGCGGCCAGCAGCACCTGGACTACCTCCAGGTGGCCTTTCCGAGCCGCAATCGCCAGGGGCCCGCCGCCTCAGCCAGAGGGCTCCGCTGATGATGGCGACACCACGCGCAATTTCACAGGTCGATCATGTTCCGACTGAAACACATATCAGCAACATCTCTCAAAACCAAAAATCAGTCTCAACTGGATTGGGAAGTCACAGCTGCGCACCTATAACAACCTGCTCAACCTTCAAGCCTATATCCCTTCTCAGGTTTCCGCCATCTTCGTCGACTTGCTCCAGGCTCTGGGGGTCCACCTGCAGCAAGCGTCGGACAGCTCCGACGTTGCCTTCTTCTGCAGCCTGCAGGATGTGTCCGCCTCAAAGCCGAAACTCTGGATGTCTGGCAGTGTTTGGCAGTCCAAGGTTTATTCATAATATATTATACCAGTGGATCGGTCATAACGTCATAATAGTATACATATGCATAGTTTTTGCGGCTTGTGCGTTCCTGAACTTGGTTCATTCGACTACTAACAAATATTAACAAACGATTGTTATGCACTGGCAGCACCCAGAGTGCAAAAGCATATTTAAACACATTTAATAAAGGCATCTTTCAAAGCCCAATGTCACATGTCATTGAGCATGGATCCTCAAGCATGTGGAATCCTCAAGTCTGAGATCTCAGCAATTTTCGATTTCAGTTTCATCTGCCTGGAAAGCAAAGCACGACATTTTGGACAACCAAAAATCAAGCGGAAAGAGATCTTAGAGATTCAGCTCTAGTTTTTTCTGTTGCAGAAAAGGCGTGGAAAATATGATGCCTGCATAGGGTTGGTCTGAGATTGAAACCCCAAAATCTGAGGAATGCTTGGAGGTCACCCAGTGAGGGACATTTGCCGCAGACAGGACGAATTATGGAAATCATCGAGGTGGATACAATTTGATACAATATCAAAGCACAAAATGTAGATCCCAACAAAGAAAGATAAAGCCAGTCAAATCAGTCAATACGACCTACCGCGCCAACACGTCCTTGTGAATACTTCTCAACTCTGTGAAACTTTGTCCCCTGTGGATCCCAATGGAAACAACTTCCCCCAGATCGCCAGTCCTCCGCTTCCACCTTGGAACCTCAGGATTTGACGTGTTTTCGTGGTGAGTCCTCATGAAAAGCCAAATTGTTCATCTACCACCATTGGACTTGGAAGAACCTGCGACCCGTATCAACTGTGGACTGTCCACCGTCATCAACATCAACCTTACTCCAGATACTGACGCTCGTGCCGTGTCAAAAGCCATCTTCGACACGACACCCCTGTCAGATATGACGCGGTGCCCTGTCATTGGACGGACCCGGTGAGAAAGGCCAAATCAAGTTCCTTTTGGGTGAAGTTGGATGGAATAAGTCTGCCACCCTCCCGTCGGATGTTCTCATTGCTTTCTCTATCAAAGATATGAAAATTCCATCTGAGTCATCAACTTCACAGCAAGGTCTAACTGCTGACTTTCAAGGCATTGGAAGGGTCTAAATCTAAAGATGTCTCAAGACCTCAACATCCTCAACGGAGCTGCGCCAAGAGACCAGGGCCATTGGGCTCTGAGATGTTGAGCTCTGTCTGAACATCTTGCCTGGCTGATCCACATGGATCAGGGCGATGAAAAACTCGGGAAGGAACGAAGACTTCACAGCGATCATCGAAATGCCCACAGAGTGGCTTGAAACCACAGCCAATTGTTCAGCCTATTGTCCTGTTTTATGTTTACATGTGTTTACCATATCATGACAACCTTGGCAGTTCTGGCCGAAGGACGGTAATCATTCTGGCAAGATGCGATGAAACATCGGCTTGATGACCACTCTCAGAGTTGGATGCTGGTGCGAAAATCCACCGCAGGAAGTGCGAGTAGGGAACTCGTTGGTCTTGAAACATCTCCTTAACACAGCCCACTGACCTTCGACTTCCTTGCCATCTTTCAATGTGTTCCGCAAAAACATCGCACAAGTCATGTCTGAGTGCGACAGAAAATCAGCCCACAGCTGAACCTGAAAGTCAACAATGACGACCTGAACCTGATTCAGTGGAAACTCAATCTAGGTCCTAGGTCCTAGATTCCTAGATATCCTAAGATTTCTGTATGAAGCGTGTATCAAACCAAGCATCTGTGGATTGAAGCAAGGCTAACCTTGGCGAATGAAGCACCACAGTGCAGCTGTGTCTTGGTGGTTTAGTGATCCCTGATTTTAGTGAGATGAATGGTAAAGAGATAGTTCCATCAAATCCCAAAACGGCTGAATTTTTCAAATGATACAAGTGCATCCAGGGACGGGGTTATGATCATCTGCGGACATGCCGACATGACAAGGTGAGCCAGGCAGCTCTTGATCAGAAACGCCAAGGCCAGAGAGGATGGACAGCAGCTCCTCCTTCCCGAGCGTTCCACTTCCTGAGTCCCGTTCCCCACCGAGTCCAACGACGCACCGACACGAACCCAGGAGCAGATTGCATCAAAAACGCGCAGCAAATCCCAAAACTGTTGCAGTCGAGAGTCCGGTGGGATCCAAGTGCTGGAAAATTGCTTCAACGCCAGCATGGTCTGCCTGGTGGACAGGAACTTCAGAAGTTGGGTGTTTCTGAAGTGGGGGCCCAACAAGAATCCACCATGGACCATGGACCATTTTGTTGCCTTTGTTGGGAAACGCAACAGTTTGGGGATTGGGATGCCCCCCCCTGTTTTTTGGGATATCCCTAAGGTACATCAACAGCCTTGGCCCTCACTGACGGTTTCGGACTTACCACCCTAGAATTGCATTGATTTGCATAGATTTGCCGCTTCTTGGCGTGGATGTCAACGATATAGGGTGTTAACTCGAAACAAGGAAGCAGGTGAAATAATCCCTGACTTGATCCCAACAAGTTTGTTGTTTTCACATGTTTTCACCATATCAGCTTCCAACGTCAGAACAGCGTAGATTCCGAAGTTGGAGGTCTCACATCTGGGACGCCCTGCCGAGGTATCTTGGCCATCCTTTGCCATGAAGGTGGAATTCCCTAGGGGAAATTCCGCAAGGATGGTGAAACTTTTTGTGAAAATGATGATGAAAACTTCGGGGCAACATATGGTTCCCAGTGAATCACCTGTTGAAACTCTGGAGGTCTGGCAATCCATTGATTTCAAACCAGGACAGGCTCTGAAACGGCATAAGCCATTTTTCGCCGTAAGCAACAAGCCGGGTCTGCCAGATTCACCAGATTCATCCAGATTCACTATACAGAGTCAGTGGTCAAATCTAGGTTAGTCATGGTGTGATGTCTCTGCAATCCTGAAGGTCAATGAACTCTGGGTGAAAAAAGTGTAAGCTGAGCCGAGAACTACAGGAATTCGAACCTTTAGTAACTATTATAATGTGCACATGAATCACCTTCAAATTACAGTATTTCTCCCATGCCATGTCCATGTCGCAACAAATACCTACGGCCTGTCACTGCCTGAAGCAAACGTCCGGAGGTTTTGCGACTCGGGTTCCTCTACCTTGAGAGTAGCAGGGACTTTTAGGCCCATAGATGTTTTGAATGTCCCATTGCGGGTGAACTCTTCTGATCGTTAAGGATGATCGGCCTGTTACTTGACCTGATTTAATCCGGAATCACAAAGGATCGCACCATCGAAGGGTGGAATCCGGCAGCAGTACGCTTTGATTTCCGCCACATTCTTCGATTTTTTTTGACTTTGCCTAATTGGCAAAGATGCCACTGCTGGTAACAGAATCCGCAATCTGGTCGGCAGCGCCTTCGGCGTTGTTCATCTGCCGATCATCTACAAACACAAGGCCATTCTTGAACACCAGACGATTTTGAAAAGTACCTCTTTCATTGTTTTGTGGCGCAGGTGGCCACTGCTCACACAGCCTAATGGGGAATATATACAAATTGTTGTCGTGTGCATATTCCAATTCATGGAAGGTTTCATAGCCAGCACCAGTATAGGCGCCGTACTCCGAAGTGCAGAAGGCCACCATGCCTTTGGCACGGCCCAATCCTATCCGCGTCAGCTCGGCAAAACTTTGGCCGACCTGAGCTTGCACCATATATACAGGTATTCGTCTCTCTTCCAAGCGCCTCTTCACCGCTTTCATGTAGTTGATGACCCTCAGTGGCCGACAGTCCGCCCAGCATCCAGAATGAAACTTAAGAAAAGATGAAACACAGTTCACAGATCCAGGATCAAACTTCAACAACATGGTTCAACTATGTTCAAGTGACATTTTTTCTTCCCCAACCTTCGACAAGAATCGTATCACTGTTGAAGCGGCCGCTCAGTAACAGGTGACCTCTCTCTGACCGCTCCTGTGCCTGAGCGGTCTGTCACAGGAGCTGGATCCAATCATGGATCTCGTCGGTTTCCGATTTCTGAAATTTATGAAGGACAAGCATTCTTGTTCTATGAAAATGTGTGTGTGTGTGTGTTGCGATTCTGGATCTCATCCAAAATGCGCATAGAACATCATAAAACCATATAAAACCAGTAATACGCAGTGCCGACCATCTGATTTACCCGGCAGAAGGCAAGGTCCCACTGTAAATTCCCATTCGGCTCTTCTGTTTCAATCTTCCACTTTTCTTAACTTATTGTTCGCACCCCATCAACTATTTTAACTTTTATCAAATCTAACTATAGATTCTGATGAATATTCTAAAAAATTATCAAATATTATCCATTTGAAGAATTCGACAATTTCAACCCCGAAATCTCCAAGTCTTCGGCGGCCACAGTTGACGTTGCAGCCACCGTTGGATCACCTTTGGTGCCGAGTCACCATCGACACGTCTGAGGTCATCGCAGCTGCGGGCATCGCCTGCCCAGGCCCCGTGGAGCCAATGGCAACTTTTGAATGGGGAAATTTGGGGAAAGTTAGGAAAGCCGTGGAAAACCTTAGACAAGAGGGTGAAAATTCGGCGTTACCATCAAATTTTGGAGTTGTCCCATAATTATGGCCATTTTGAGTGGGGAACATGTTGGAAAAGGATGTTTTTGTCGACCATGACCGTGTTTCATGGGGAATTACCCATCAAATCTTGGGGTTCTCCCGTGAATGTGCAAACATACCCAAATATAAAGCACGTGTGGATGCACCTGGGGATGCACCTGGAAAAGGCAGTGAGATGACTTTCGGGGTTCGATGTTTGATGTTTACCACGCAACCCCACTCCACTGCGCCTGTGAGGTCGCTGGAGCCGACGGCGGATCCGATGCTGTTGGGTTTGAAGCTATTGCACTCGTGGCTGCCTCTGACCGAAGTTCTTCGAACTGATGGTCATCCCCTTCAATTTCGACACTGAAGTGGCTTGCAGAGTGAGCCACAAGTTTCCGGGAAATCTGTGGCATTCGGTGGAACCTGACTCTCATATTCACTGCTTCTTGCCCTTGACGGAGCTGCAGGTCTTCGTCGTGGCGATACGTTCCCAGCAGTGCGCTGGGGCCGCATTTCTTGAAGGATCCCAACATGTCAGCATCGGAGCACAGCTGCTCCAAGCTGTTCTGACATGACTCGCACGCCACGTGTAGCAATGCGACTTTCGCGTTTGCACCGTGTGGATCGATGAATCCCACAGCTTTCAGGCCACATGGCCCCGTGGCCACAACATCACAAAAGTGGCTCAGCGCAACAACTACTCGGCCATCGCTGAATTTTGCACCCAGTAGTGGTTCCCAACCTGCCGGGAAACCGAACCGAGAAGCAACAATCGGGTGAGACCAAACGTAAAACCACTCCGTGCAAAACCGAACCGGCATGAAGAATTGGAAACAAAAAAGAAAGTTCAGGTTCCTTACCAATTCACATGTTTGTCTGTGAAAGTCTTGGATCAGGCCAACCTCAAAACAACTGCTGGTGACGAGTTTCAACAATTATAATTAATTACATGGTCAAAAGGTATGGACTACCACCCCTGAATCAATAGGTACCCCGTTCTTAGGAACCACCGAAATCAGTTGACTAGCCCAGTTCAACCCGAACCGCAACTGGCCACCCTGCCTGTGGCTGCTGATCTCCAAACAGATTCCGCACCTACACATGTGGGCATCTCAACCTGACGGAGGTTTCGAAAGTTTTACTTTGTCAAAGAACCCGAATCGTCATGGTATTGGTATTACGCGTCAAGACCCATATTTTGAGGTTGGAGCATTCATGGATCTTGCATGTGTTTCACAAAACAAAATCTTGAACGTCTATTTACGTGTGGCTGTAGCGTGCATGACACCAGATCGGGGAAGCGGTGCTTTCCTTTTCCTTTGCCTTTTGTATCTCTTCTCCCAAGGATCTGGAAGAACTGTGTTTGCATTGGGGGAGTCTTTCCAAGGCCATAGGAAAGGAGCCCCCTTTGAATCGTTTAAGCTCCCTGTCCGGATTGAATGTCAACTACGTAATTACTTCGGTTGCCTGCGCATGGCATCCATCGGTTCCTTTTCCTGGTACGAAACTTCTTTGGGCACAGGCAAAATGGATCAATAGGGTAGCCTTTGAACGCCTTTGCCCCCCTGCCTCCACTGGCTTTGGAAACGTGACATCTTCCGGACTGAGACGCACCAGTTGGCTCAGTGCCACGTGTCCGGGAGGGAGCACCTGAAGTTGCAAAAGCTACAAATCAAAACCGACGCGCCTACAAGCACGATCATAGTGACCATATTGATGATAACAGGGTGTAAAACGTGTTTGTGCAACAAACAAACTGCAATGCAGATTCCGGAGTCATGGAGCCATGGTATGATCCACGTCTCCTGCTGACATGAACACTTCAGTCATCTCATGAAAATGTTTCAACACAAAAGGTGTTTTGCCTCAGAAACTTGCTCAGGAGAGTACGGGTATCTGAATACACAGCTGGGGCAAGGAATTTCTGGGTCCAATCTGGATCATCAACTACGTGTATATATATATATATACACACACATATTATACATGTATTTATTTATTTATTCATTTATTTATTTATTTATTCATCTATTAATATATTTATTTATTCAATTCATTTATTCATTTGTTTATTTAATATATTTAAGTTTAGTTTATTTATTTATTTATATTGCATGTATCCACCCTATCAACGAGGAATCTTTTTTGGGAACTTCTGCCCAAGTTTCATATTTGCATATTTTGGCACAAGAATTGCTGAAATCTCAAATTTATGCCGACGATGTCCAATTCTGCCGCAACGGAGTTGTCACTGGTCGACATTCTGATACCGAGAAAACCAGGAACGGGAAGGTCATGTTTTCTGTCTTGATCTTGGGAAGGGTATGTGTATGTGTGTATGAGATAAAGTTTATCTACTGTAGCACACTAAATGTACATAAATGTACATTGTGCAATGGGATGTCATGCAATTCAATGCGTTGTATTTCCTGTCCTGTACTAAATATAGATCGGGCGTAGCAAAATCATTCAAAATCAATGAATCAATACTATGATTCAGGTGTCACAGCTTGGCAGACCCCCACAACGCAGAGACCCTGTGAACAAAAGTACATGCTTTCCGCCACAAAACAGCTGGTATTTTGGTACTGCATATCATGGCTCGAAGTCAATGACACCCAAAATGATATCAAACCTTCAGTATTAATACATATTATCCTTCACCGCCCAAGCATTGGGTGGCTGGTTTGCGGACGAGACACTTCCTCCAAGGAGGATGGATCCTTCAGATCCTTCCAGTCTGCAAGCACTTCCATCCTGGGCCCGTACTCATCGAAAACGGATTGCGCCGTCTTCATCGAAATCCCATGGCCAAAGTCCTTCAGCACCACAGGGTCCTGGCGACAACGAAATCAACGGACTGCCTAGCCGCCTGGCATGAGAAAGGGTGTCGTAAAAAGTCACTTTCTACATGATGCCGCATGTCTAAACGACTGTCTCAGCACACGTATGCAATTTTCTGCCAAACACTTTAGTAGCAAAACCAATGTTGCTCCAATGAACGATACTAAGCGCGGAAAACAGGACACATCTATGACAGAGCGATGATATGGTCTTTCTGTGTTGCTGAGTGAGATTGAGTGAGTATGAATATGTTTGGCTTTCAAAAATGATAATACAAATGCGTACTTCGATTTGTCCGAGGTCTTGTGTCCAATGCTTTTTCTATCAGAGTCACTAGGACGGCCGTCAGGGTATTTCCAGGCAGAATGTTGGCTTCTTGCAGAGTCATCGCTCCATTCCTGGACCAAGCTCCAGCCCACCATTTTGGAGAGACCACAGTGACTTGTCAAATCAAGGCTGATTCCGTTGATGCACTCGCTTCATGGGCTCCAAGAGAAATCAATTTGATCGATTTGTGATTGAGGTTCAAGGAGAAAACTTGGTCTCCAGAAGGCTATGGAGGTGGCTACATTCTCAAGAGATTTCAATAATTCGATATGTTGTTTATCATCTTTGTATTCATGGCTGAGTCGGCTATTGGGTCAGTACTTACACTTCTTCAAGATGTTGGTGTGTCAGGGGGCCAGCAGGAACTCCTATCCCAGTTGCAGCATGCAGAGAGGACTTTGTCGTATAAAATCACGTCCACGAGTCACAGTTTCACCACAATGCCAAAGTCTAGATAGTCTATGTTCACCGAAACACCATGTCCTTTTTCCAGGCTGCATTCTGCAACACTAAAGGGAACCCCAAGAAATAATGAGTTCTAGCAGTGAACCAACTCATGAGCTCTAAATCAGTTGGAGAATACCCAGCAGTAGCGTCCATACAGCATCAACTGTGCCAAGCAGCAGCGGCTGCATGTCGGGGCCAATGAGATGCTCGATGGTCGTTCCCAACTTGCGCCTCGGATCCGCAATCAACAGATGTGGCACCTGCAGCACGGCTTCTGTTGAAAGCATCGCTAGGTACAAAGGAAAATTGGAAAATTTATTAAGATGTCATCCGGAAAATGAAACAGGGGAGCGAATCCATCTAAAAGGGAAGTTAATGAAACGATTGAAACAAAAAGCATCTTGCATGAGTGGCTGGGGTATGCTCTGCCTCTATTTGCCAGGGCCAACAAGTGCTGGTTGCATCGATTTTGAACATCCTTGCTACAATTCATGGTCGCAGAAATGTTCTTGCATCGTGTTGCCGCGATGTCTTTCTTCGCATTTTTTGCCAGAATTG